TGCAGACGATACCATAATAATGGTGGAGGGCTCCGTGTCCGACATAGCCAACCTGAAGTTCCTCCTCCCATCCTTCCAACAGATGTCCGGGCTCACCATCAACTTTTATAAGAGCGAAGTGATGATTCTGGGCTACTCCCGTGAGGAGGCCCAAGCCATGGCCGACCGTCTGAACTGTCGGTTGGGTACTTTCCCCACGACTTATTTGGGGATACCCGTTAGTGACTCGCGACTCACCATAGCTGTCCTGCGCCCAGCAGTGACTCGGATGCAGCACCGGGTGGAGCCTTGGAAGGGGAGGTGGCTCTCGAAGGCGGCCAGGTTGATCCTCATCAACTCCTCGCTTGCCAGCCTCCTTTGGTTTCTCATGAGCTTCTACAGCCTTCATGAGACTCTCCATCAGGAGATCGCCAAATATCAGTCCAGGTTTTTCTGGGCAGGCGAGGGTGAAAAGCAGAAATACCATATGGTGAGCTGGCCCGACATTTGCAAACCCAAGGACCAGGGAGGACTTGGGATCTTGTATTCTTGGCGCATGAACATTGCTCTCCTGACCCGATGGCTCTGGCGAATCGCCAATGGGGAGGGAGGACTCTGGCTTACCACCATCCGCAATAAGTACCTTCGAGGCCAACCTCTAGCTTTCTGTCAGCGTCTGGTGGCTCCCAGTTCTGGCAGACTGTGATTCAGCTTCTACCCGTGCTCCGCATTGGCACGTCCATCTCAGTTGGCTCCGGGTCCAGGACCCTGTTCTGGTTCGATCATTGGGTGGGGGACTCCCCCCTGGCCGCCCGATTCCCTGAACTATTCTCCATAGCGGTTGACCCTCGGTTCTCTGTCAAGACGGCCCTTATTGACTTAGGGCGTCTCGCTTTCCGGCGCCACTTCGGCCCCCTTGAGGTGGCCGCTTGGGACTCCCTCCTCCAGGACATCGCCCTTCTACCGATGGACGTCAAGGGCGCCCCTGACTCCATCTCTTGGCGACTGGAGCCCTCCGGCCGCTTCTCCACTAAGTCCTTATACTCGGCTATCGCTCCCTCGTTGGCCCCTGAGCCCTTTAGCCTGATCTGGGACATTCGCCTTCGTCTGAAGATCAGGATCTTCCTGTGGCAGTGGATTCGGGGACGCCTTCCCTCTGGGGTAGAGGTCCTCAAGCGTAATGGACCAGGAGACGGGATATGTCCCCTGTGTGGCACGGTGGAGGATGCTAACCACATCTTCTTCTCCTGCTCCACAGCCCAATTCCTATGGTCCTGCTTTCGCGAGACGGTCGATGGACAGTGGTGCAACACCAACTTCCCAGACTTGCTTGCAGAGATCCATGCCTCCGCCCCTCGCCACCGCCATATTAGATGGTTGTGCGTTGGGTCCTCGTCTGGACGCTTAGACCATCCGCAACAAGCTTGTTATTCAGAAAGTACCTCTCCGACGTGCGACTGACGCGATCTTTAAAATGTGTGGTCAAATGCAACTTTGGCGGCCGCTTAGCCGCCCCCAGGATCGGGACACCATCAACACCCACCTCGCCGATCTTTGCTCGATGGCCTTCCGCGTGGCGCCCCCGCCGCCGCCCCCTCCTCTGGAGCCCGATTAGGCCTGCTGCTCGGGTTGTTGTGTGTGAGTTTGTTATTTTTGATTTCAGGGCTTGTTGAACTGTGCCCTCAGCATTAACCCAGTGTACTATTGTATGTGTATGTGAGACTTGTGTGTGTGCGCGTGTGAACCTTGTTGGACATTTGGCTTGGGCGGTTTGCTTTATCTATAAAGCAGGGCGAAAGCCTTTTTTGGTAAACGGAATTTATTATAGTGCTGCTGGGGTACAATAATTGGTTATCTGGAAATTCATACTGATGAGTAGAAAACTTTATTAATACCTATCAGGGGACTGCTTCCGTCATATTCATCAGAACCTGCATCACTGAGCACAACTACAGGATGACCGGCCGACGTTAAAGGTCCTGCAGGACCGTCCAATCCAGATCGTGCGAGACAATCGCGAGCTGTCTCTTTGCCTTTTTCTGTTAGGTAATACCTACAGCAAACTCGTACGGTAAGTCCCAAGTTTATGCTTGGTATCTCAACAGAATGTGTGTGCTTGGCAAATAAAGCCCCAGAGAGAGAAAAGGAGATGCAAACTGAACAGGGTGAGCTTCTGCTTGTATTCAGGGTGGAAATAAAGAAGGGAGATGACTGTAGGACCAAAATAATAAGCAAGATCTGGTTCATGTAGCAAACTGGCATAAATCTGGAACATTCCCAAATGACCACATGTGCAAGATTTTTATGGCGAAGAAGGCTGCAAAGCGGGTTGTTGGTGAAGCAAGGGGTCGGGCATATGAGGACCTCTACCAATTGTTGGGCACGAAGGAAGGCGAAATGGACATCTATAAGATGGCCAAGATCCGAGAGAGGAAGACGAGGGATATTGGCCAAGTCAAATGCATCAAGGACGGAGCAGGCCAATTCTTGGTGAAGGACGAGGAGATTAAGCATAGATGGCGGGAGTACTTCGACAAGCTGTTCAATGGGGAGAATGAGAGTTCTAGCATTGAACTGGACGACTCCTTTGATGAGACTAGCATGCATTTTGTGTGGCGAATCCAAGAGTCTGAGGTCAAGGAGGCTTTAAAAAGGATGAAAGGAGGCAAGGTGATGGGCCCTGATTGTATCCCCATTGAGGTGTGGAAAGGTCTCGGGGACATAGCGATAGTATGGCTAACCAAGCTTTTCAACCTCATTTTTCGGGCAAACAAGATGCCAGAAGAATGGAGACAGAGTATATTAGTACCAATCTTCAAGAACAAGGGAGATGTTCAGAGTTGTACTAACTACCGTGGAATTAAGCTGATGAGCCATACAATGAAGCTATGGGAGAGAGTCACTGAGCACCGCTTAAGAAGAATGACAAGCGTGACCAAAAATCAGTTTGGTTTCATGCCTGTGAGGTCGACCATGGAAGCCATTTTCTTGGTACGACAACTTATGGAGAGATACAGGGAGCAAAAGAAGAACTTGCATATGGTGTTCATTGACTTGGAGAAGGCCTATGATAAGATACCGCGGAATGTCATGTGGTGGGCCTTGGAGAAACACAAAAATGTCATGTGGTGGGCCTTGGAGAAACACAAAGTCTCAGCAAAGTACATTACCCTCATCAAGGACATGTACAACAATGTTGACAAGTGTTCGAACAAGTGATGTCGACACTGATGACTTCCCGATTAAGATAGGACTGCATCAGGGGTCAGCTTTGAGCCCTTATCTTTTTGCATTGGTGATGGATGAGGTCACAAGGGATATACAAGGAGATGTCCCATGGTGTATGCTCTTTGTGGATGATGTGATGCTAGTTGACGATAGTCGGACGGGGGTAAAGAGGAAGTTAGAGTTATGGAGACAAACCTTGGAACCGAAAGGGTTTAAGCTTAGTAGAACTAAAACCGAGTACATGATGTGCGGTTTCAATACTACTAGGTGTGAGGAGGAGGAGGTTAGCCTTGATGGCCAGGTGGTACCTCAGAAGGACACCTTTCGGTATTTGGGGTCAATGCTGCAGGAGGATGGGGGTATTGATGAATATGTGAACCATCGAATCAAAGCTGGATGGATGAAGTGGCGCCAAGCTTCTGGCATTCTCTGTGACAAGAGAGTGCCACAAAAGCTAAAAGGAAAGTTCTACAGGACAGCGGTTCGACCCGCAATGTTGTATGGCACTGAGTGTTGGCCGACTAAAAGGCAACATGTTCAACAGTTAGGTGTGGCGGAGATGCGTATGTTGAGATGGATGTGTGGCCACACGAGGAAGGATTGAGTCCGGAATAATGATATACGAGATAGAGTTGGGGTAGCACCAATTGAAGAGAAGCTTGTCCAACATCGTCTGAGATGGTTTGGGCATATTCAGCGCAGGCCTCCAGAAGCTCCAGTGCATAGCGGACAGCTAAAGCGTGCGGAGAATGTTAAGAGAGGGCGGGGTAGACCGAATTTGATATGTGAAGAGTCCGTTAAGAGAGACCTGAAGGATTGGAGTATCACCAAAGAGCTAGCTATGGACAGGGGTGCGTGGAAGCTTGCTATCCATGTGCCAGAGCCATAAGTTGGTTGCGAGATCTTATGGGTTTCACCTCTATCCTACCCCAACTTGTTTGGGACTAAAGGCTTTGTTGTTGTTGTTGTTGTTGTTGTTTCAAGTTCATATTGTGGACCAGATGAATACAAAGGAGCTATGGAATTGGACATGCCTGCTTCTATTCCATCGATAGAAAATTGATGATATACCACCGCAGAGCTGTATGTTTAAAAGATATATTTTCTTAATTAGCTCAAAAGATTAGAGAGCATTATATTACCTAAGGTGCCCACAAGCATCAACTAGCAAACTATCAGATGTTGATACTCTGCTACCATATATATGACTTCACTGCTGCACTTTATCAAACTTCTCCGACCAAGAGAAAAAACTGAAGTAGGAATGTTTCTTGATACAAGTTAAATTACTAGAGAACACATTTACCAAACTGCAAAAGCACACCAGAGGTTAGCCACATTTTTGGATCCAGTCGATCCACACTCAGACCAAACTGGATAAACTAGTGCAGACACAATCATACTTAAATACATGAGAACCCTATGAACCCTCTAATGAGAGTCAAGTTCATGCATACAAGTGATATATTTTATAGCTCTGGTATCTCCTTGAGTTTGAGTCCGTTAAAATATCAATTTATCATTTAAGAAAGATCAGGCAAAGTACAAAGTTCACAACCAATAGCTAGCAGAGCCACAATAGTACATTATACATCAATAGCCAGTGATGTGAAGGTAATAAAACTTGTGCTCTAATACGTGAGTATAAAACGTATTGGGTTTACTCCCCTAAAAGATCCAATTCTTTTTTTAATAAATGACGGAAAAACATAACATTAACATGAGGACGAGCCTGGTACATTACTTTGCAGGATTACTCTTTTTCTCAACCAGATTCTTATTTGTTAACGTCTTCATGCTATTCCATCCAGTGTAACTGTAACCATCATTCCAAGAATTCCTACTGTTGTTTGGGCTGCTCATAATACAACAAAGACAGTTAGTGATGCACTAAAATATCCGCTGAAATCAGCAACCATGGCATATACTGAATCACTGAAACTGTACTCTATTGCATGTTGTGACAGACCACTGGCCTCAGCAGCGTCAATAAGCTCTTGCCTCATCATAAATTCCTTCCCTCTTTCCATTTCCCTAGGGGGGAAGCAACTGTCAATATCCGTTGTTGCATATTCAAGTGTATTTTCTCTTTTCCTCTGATTAAATGTTGCCCTTTGTACTAAGGTTGCACTAATTTTGCAGCGTGAACAACAAAAATTTAGGTAAGATAGCCCCCCACCCCCACCCTAAAAAACCATACATGTAGAGTGTGATCATTATTGCATAAGCAGCTGATTTCAACCATGGCACATAAGGTTTGTTTAGTGTGTTCTTCCCTGTTAAAAGGCAGTACCCTTTTAAGAATAATAATAAACCTGTTTCCATTGAACTGACTATTGATACATAAAACTGATGGGGAAGAAGACTTGTTGTCATCCTGATGATGAAAAAGGAATAACAGATTCCAGAGGACCCGTGAGCAATCATGAAAACTATTACCCGTTTCTCCTGGTGTATTACTTCTCGAAGGGGACAAATCAAGGCTGGACCCTGAAGGGAGTCTTCCATGACGTCAACAACCCAACCTCCAACTCCCCTGACAAAAATAATAGAACCGAAGAAGCAACAACAATGATTAAACTACTTCAGAAAATGTAAAGTTTTTCAAAAATCGATGCAACTCAATGTAGAAAGCAACCATTGTGTACTAGATACATTCCACACATTAATCTAGTGTGTGATTTCCACCTCTAAATTCAACACGCAAAAGAAAAATCAAAGGGAAAGAGTCCTAGAATATGGATCAAAACTAAAGTCATACTGTTATAGACTTATACCACTTCTCTGGTCATCTACTTGCAGGCAAATCCCAAGTAGAATGGCAACCCTAAAGGGATATAAATATACCTTGACATATAAAAATGGTAATGGCCTAAATTGATTTCAGCATATACCTGCAGAAAATCAACGGTCGCAGCAGATGAGTAAACATAAGGGGAACTGGACTGAAATTTATGATTCCACATACCATTAGCTGGCCAAACCGAAAATCCATGCTCAGACCAAATGGGCAAAATTAAAATCCCCTAAGATCCCAGAGCTAAGGCACCCAAACCATAAACCAAGCCATTCGTCTTAGAGTGGCAATGTGACCCCGAAATCGACCGAAACCTAGGCTCGTCTCAATAGCGTAAGAGGAAACGGTTCGAGAGAGGCGGGGGAATGCGCACTTGAGACGGGCCAGGTCGCCGGGGGTCCGGACGGGCTCCTTGGCGGCGCAGACACCGGTGTAGGCGGCGCAGAGCGCGCGAGCCTGGTGGTCTGGGAGGCCGGCCGGCTGCTGCGCCGCCATGGAGCGGTGCTTCTCGAAGATCCTGGCCGTGACCTCCTCGTTCTTCGGGAGGCTCACCTTGCGCTTCTTCCTCGGCACCGACGGTGCCATCTGCGCCGAGGGTCGGGGGCGTGGGAGTGAGGGATTGGGAGGGGACTGCGGGAGTGAGGAGGGGGTTTGGGTGTGGGGAGGATGAGCCCGCCATTACTGGTTCGGAGGTTTTCGCTTTGTGATTCGATAGTTTTTTTACGGTCGAGAGTTAATTCTACAACAGGTGAATCTCTACTTATCTAAAAGAATCGTAAGGTTCCCTCTCCCCTCTTACGTCAATTCTTTCGTCCAACCTTCCGTCAACAAGTGCTCCCTCGCCTTCATCCGCCTATAATAAAAAGAAACACAATCAAGCATTGAGAAAAAATCAGGCGCTAGAATCAGGTGCAAGAAATTATAGGACGTAAAAATAGGACGCAGTCTCAGGCTTTCTTTCCTCGTGTTTCGCTTCATACAAATCGGAGTCCCTCGGCGCCCCACCTCGCCTTCGTCCAACTTCGTCTGCCACCTACGCACGTCCTACGACGCCCCTTTCCTCGTGCGTTTTTTTTGAGGGGATCCTCGTGCGTTGATAGATAAGAGTTGATTCAGTTCCCATAATTTTGGGAACCAATCACTGTAATCGCATTTATTTATTTCCTGTCTCACCCTTTCTCTATTCTTTACCAGCGTCGCGGCGGTGGCTACAGGCGGGAGGAGCCTGGTGGCCGAATGGGCGAACGGTACGACCGGCTGAGACTAAGAGTCACCTCTCTCTCTCTCTCTTTCGTCCTCTCTCTGCAACGACGTGAGGAATCAGTCTGGGCCGACGATGGCGTCGGCGACGCGCCTGATGTCCACCAGTATCTTGAGGTCTTCCAGATCAGCGTCGACACTAGCATGCGATCGCCGCGCTGCCCGCGTCGTATCTAATGCCCTCGGCCGTGGCTACTCTAGTCTCCACATGACGCCCGCTTCGCTTGTCGCATACATGCTGGCTCGGCGGTGGCCGCAGCGTAGCGTGCACCCATAAGATGGAATACCTCCCAGCAACTCGCGTGATAGTTCGTCAACGATGGTGATGAACTGGATGATGACCTCCGCCAGGCTGATCATCGGAGCTCACGACACGTCACGTCCGGCGGGAAAGCTGGCAACGAGGCCCGTGACTGCCCTTCCGTTGACAGAAAGGCCTTCATCGTCGAGGTCGCCTCCGAGCACAGGATCCATGCGAGGTTGGGGCGTTCGGCATTGAGGACAGCGTGATTGGTTTGTCGCCTGTAACCCCAAATGACAAGCCCGGCGTGATCGATGAAGACTATTATGGAGGGGAGCTGCGCGTCCCCAAGCAACCACCACCTCGCTACGGCTCCAAATCAGGGAGTATCACTTCCCGGCTAAAGAGACCACACCGCTGCCTGGAGCTGCCGGCAGGCTTCGCTTTTGTCGTGAGCGGATAGAGGCAAGGAGGGACAACAGTACGTATGCCATGCAAAGCAATCAATCTATTTGACAGACATTTGACTTTTTCATTCAGATAATCTATGATTCTCTAGCTATATGTCTCATGGTGTACGTGATGCCTTCAATCCACATAGTACGTTTTACTGACATTTAGCTTTTTGATTGAGGGCCTGTCTCCAGCTACATATCTCTGTGTACGTGATACCTTTCTCTGAACATTGTTTTCACTATATACATAACCACCACTCAGGCCATTACAAAAGAGAAGTTCTCATTACTCATTGTCTTTCTCGTGATTTCTGTTAGGGCCACCTACCACACATGCATATACACCATGTTTATCTACTGTAATTTGATGTTGTTTACATGCGACACAAAAGAGTTAAGAGTGCGCTCGAGAAAAATTTGCTTTGCGGGTACACATTTTCTCAAAGACTGGTGTGTTGAACTTTCAACGATTTCGATTGGTCACTGAGATAATCTTTTCTCCTTTTGTTGATATATGCCTCAAAGAGATTCGTCTTTCCCTTTTTTGTGTTATGTTTTCAACGAGAAGAATTTCATACTTTTGTAGTGGAGCCATCCAAATATATATTACGATTTTCTCAAAATAATCATTATGACATAAAATCATTATATATGCATATTGTTTCCTGTATTTTTTATGTGAGCGAAAGTTTTAGATTTGGGACCAGCTTATTGCATGATCACTAAGAAATTATTGTGTAGTTAATCATCTATATTTTATTGTGTCTGTGTAAACAAGAATTTTGTTGGTTATTTGGCCTCACAAAGGTTCTTTCTTGAACAGAGCTTCCTGTGCCCTGGCACCTGCTGAGAAAATCGACCAGCAAAGAACATGAACGAAGATGGTGATAAGACAGGAAGGAGCCGAGTATGCCGCATCCGGATATGATGGTTTCCCCTCTGTTCTCTTCCCTCTTTTTTCGTAAGTGAATGATTTTAGATTGTTGGGCATTATTCAATTGCTATACGTGTGAAGAAGTTGTACTAAACTATAGTAGTAGTAAATTACTTCATCAGATTGAGTGAACTGTGCATCAGATTATTGCTATACGTTTTTTCATCTTGTAGTAGTAAATTATTCAATTGCTATACGTTTTTTCATCTTGTATTCCGCTACTAGGAATTTTCTATCCTAATTACTTCATCAGATTCTGTTCACTTTTTGAAGTTTTAGTTTGTGCAAGAAAAGGCACCAAGAGCACGTGACTCCGATTGAAGATTCACACAATAAACAGCCAGAAGTAGTGCACACTGTTTATCATCTAAGATCATACTCATGATGATGTTGCACATGAGAAAGTAAAGAGTAAAGGCTGATCATGCTGATAATGTTGACCAGATTTAGATGGTGAAACAGTTGGGACTTGGGAGTACAAGCTCAAGCCATTGAGATAGTTCAAGGTATACACTGTCCAGGTTTCCATGCATTCCAGACTGTTGATATACATACACTGAAGTTTAGATTAAATAAACAGTTGGACTTGGGAGTAGAAGCTTGGTGATGATTACAAATCTTCTAGACAAGATTATGTATGTGTTGGCATTTGAATAAAATAAACATGCATGGACTCTCTAAAGTTTGATTCATCATCTTGAGGTCTGGGCAAAAACACAACTTTGTTTAAATGGAAACTACATGGCCCGGGTTTTCTTTTAGTGTTTTATATCAATTAAATGGAAATACATCTGCACAATGATTGGTTGCTACTACAAGGAATGTGTTAATTAATGTGCAGTGGAATGGGATTAGGCATCACAATTTACAAACAACTCAGAGAATTGAGGTAACGAAAGTATGTGTCACACTTGGATATGTGCTTGAAAAGAAAACGAATCATTGAAATGCTTCTGCCGCCCAAAGGAGGCCTACCTGCATTTCCATCAAAGGGAAATGGTCCGAAATATGAGGGTTTTATCACCGACTATTGTAACTATTGTGTGTATAAAAGTGAGAGATGTGCCTCTCATTATGGTCCATATTTGCTCGCGGGTAAATGTTTAACTATTGTGTGTATAAAAAATTAGCGAAACATCTCTCATTACCTACCATATTTGCTATCAGGCTAATGTTTCTAGACAGGGTGCTATTTGGTAAAACACACGAGGATAAGGTATATGTTTGACATGTTTAGGATCGAGCCACTAGAACATTTATGTTCCCGTTGCAACGCACGGGCAATTACCTAGTAAAAGTAAACATATACGAAAATGCCTAGGAGCACCTGCGGGCTCACCACCCTGATATCTCTCCATTGAATAAGCATAGGAATTCGTGCCACTACATTAGACAGCATGTATTTTTCAGTTTAGTCAGGTGACTTAAAACCAGTGACTTATAGTCAGGTGACTTAAAACCAGTGACTTATAAGTCACGCCTGTTTGGTTGTCACCTGACTTATAAGTCACCTGAGCACACCTTTTCATCCTTTTTTTTCGCCATTCTTCTCTTCCCCCCATCTCAAATATGCATACATATATCCATACAAGTATCGATACAAGTCATCACTAACAAATACAAATCCATTTCAAATATGCATGCATATATCCATACAAATCCATTTCAAATATGCATACATATATCCATACAAGTACTGATACAAGTCATCACTAACAAATACAAATTACATTGTTCGGCACTAGAACAAATACCAATTACCGCCTATTATGCAGTCCTTCCGCTATCCAATTACGAAAAACGTTCATGTCATGATCACCACGCGAGTTTTGCCCCTGCGATTGGGTTGCACGGCTTCGTCGTTGGCGTCGGTGTCGTAGGCTACTAGGCTCATCCACCATTGGAATGAACTCCTCATCATCATCACACTCTCCAAAATCTCTATCCTCCAATTTACTGTCTCTAATGAAATTGTGTAAAGCCATGCATGCTGAAATAATTTTACTTTGCTTTGGTGGTGGATAAGAAGGCATGTGCAACAAAATCCTCCACTTGTTCTTCAGTACTCCAAAGCATCGCTCTATTGCATTGCGAATTTGGGAATGTCTATGATTAAATGTTTGTTTTTTACCTCTTGGCGGTGGACCTTGATTGTACTCTTGAAAATGGTACTTCGTTCCTTTGTACGGTGCAAGATAACCAGGTTGGTTAAAGAATCCCGAGTCCACCACATAAAACTTCCCTACAATGTTAAACTGTTAGAAAAGCATCAATCATTGGGCTGATCAAAGAAATGTGTACTGCAATCTAAATGTACCTTGGGGAGGATGTGGGAAGTGGCTGCCAAATTTGTCTAGTGTTGCCTTGAACACCCTCATGTCATGAACCGACCCAGGCCACCCAGTAACGATGAAGGTGAATCTCAAGTCAAAATCACAAATTGCTAGCACATTCTGAGTAGTAGTTGATTTTCGGTTCATGTGTGTGATGAGGTCTGTCTTTGGCACAACCACCTCTATATGTGTTCCATCAATGGCTCCAATGAAATTGTCGAAGAACGGAGCAAACATTGGATTTTGGCTCTTGGATGAGGTGTCCTAAACTATGGATCTAGTGGGCGAATTATGTCTCCTGCCAACTTAACCAAACATTCCAAGACTTTATCAAACTTCCTATGAAGTGTCTCCATTGATCG